TATATAATATACATTATTTATATATATATAATATATATATATATTACAACAGCAGGGCCACAGCCCGCTGCCAGCAGTTCCGGGGCACACGCCAGGTTTAAGCAGAAGACACGGCCATTGAAGCGCACAAGTGCCCAGACAGGGAATGGGAGCGGGAGTGACACGCCTGGTGATGGGATGTGACGGTGACATACAGCCGTTTGGTGGCTGCTTGGTGACAAGTGACAATGTCCGCAAACAGAACTGGGTGAAATTCATGCTCCTGATAAAAGCTGACTGCACAAACAACATCACTGTCATTTTCCTGATGGTGACTGTGGGCCAGCTGCGCCGAAGGAGGGACAGAAAACGGGGAAGGAGGTTGGAATAGGAGCCAACTGGGAAAACCTGTTGGGCCAGGCAATATTTTGGCAGATGAACCTGTCAGACACCATGGGCATCGATCTGCCATGGGAGAGGTCACATTATGCCAGGGCCTTCCGAAAAATCAAAGGAGAGGTATTGAAGGTGCTGTGAATGTGGGAGGGTGGGGGTTCGGCTGTGGTCACCAGCGGTGTGAGACCCGAGTGCGATGTTTGGCCCTGGTACATCCAATGGCTGGTACTGGAGCAGCCCCTTTGCTGGGGGATATGTGCCACCATCCCCTGGGACCATCACAGCCACACAGAGCCACCTCCACTGCAGGGACCCCCAGCAGACATGGGGGACAAGACCCTGAGACCCTGCCCAGGACACACCAGAGTGACGGACCCTGGCTCTGTCTTATCACAGCGGGGTTTGTTCTTCTATTAAATCTGTCCCTGCAGAAACTGGGGACAGCTTTTGGGAATAAAGAGTTCCACAGTAAGAAAAATATTTGCCCGTGACAGTAAGTTGAGAAGGATGTTTGGTGTGCAGAGCCTGGGCACCCCCAGGCGTGCCGGGGCTGGTGCTGGGTGAGGTCTCATCCCACTGCAATGGTCCCTGTGGAACCCACACTTGCACACGCGTGTGCACACACACCTGTGTTCTGCAGCACATTTTGACTAAAAGCCCTCCCTGACTTCAGCAGGTGTTCCCACCCCTCCTGAGCACCAGTGGGCAGAAATTCTGGGTTAGGAGATGTCCTGCCAGGTCTCTGCCCTGCTGCTGTCCAGGGTGGGGGGACACCAGGATGGGGAGAGCGGCAGTCATCCCAGGAGAGCCCCTAAATGCCACAGTGGCTCAGGGACACAGCTAGGGCCCCAGCAGCCCAGGTACTCCCAGGTGCTCCCCAGCTGGTCTCTGCTACGTGCCAGCAGCAAGAAGCAGGATAAGACCCTTGCTCGTGTCCCCATGGCACGTCTCACCTCCCAGCAAAGCGAGGCACACGCATCCCCCCTGTCCCCAGGGTGCAGGCAAGGTGTGCTCATCACTTCTCCCGCAGCCCTGGTTTACCTCCTCTGCTGGGTGGCTCATGGACCCACTTTCGCCTCCCATCATTAAAAGAGGGGGGTTTCGATAAGCAACCGATTCCCCAGGGAACCCCAATACTCATCTGGCAGAGGCAAGGGGTCCCACAGGGCAGGATCCTGCAGCCAGAGCCCATGTGGGCACGGTGGAGGGATTTTTTTAAATGTGTTGGTCAATAAACTTCCATTTTCCCAGCCCAATGTGCTGTTTACAGACTACAGAGCCCTGGAAGTGTTTCTGCAGCCTGTGCTGGTGTCTGGGAGGAACGGATGATGGTTTGCTGATGGGGGACGTCAGAAAGTATTTCCTTTTAATAATACAGAAAATCATCTGAGTTTTTGCCAGTCTCCCACAGCGTGGGAAAACCATGCCTGCCTGTTAAACCAGCTGTGATGCTCTTGGTGTTCTGATCTCCCCCTATGCTGGTTTCAATTACGGATTTCAATTATCATCTGGAAATGAACTCCCAGGTTTGTAATTGCTGCCACAGGTCGCACAGCTGTCCTTGCTGCATTCGCAGGATGAAAACACACCGCTTCTGCTTCCACTGTGTTCCCTTCAGTCCGCGTAGTAATTGCCAAACTGCCACTTCTGGTAAGGATTTGCGGAGTCACAGGTGTTCAGCCTCAGGGCTTTGTCGGAGGGATCCGCTTCCAAGCACGCCGGCTGCGGGAGCTGCTCCCGGACGATGTGGTCGGTCTGCGGGGGAGAGAAAGAGGATTTAGGCAGCAGCACTCACGCAGCAGCTCAACTTTTCCACCGAGAAAGCCTGGTTCTTTATGGTGTGCCCTTCTTCGCATCTCCCCAACACACCAGATCTCTGATTTTCGTATTTCGTTGAACCCAAAGCTGAGCTGAGAAGGATGCCAGGTAATTCAGCAATGAAGGTCAAATGCAGTAAACTGGATTATGGAAGAAAGAAGGGTCTGAGTGATCTCCCTGATTTTGCTTTCCACAGCTGCTGGGGTTTATCTGCTTATCCCACGTGGCCAGCAAGCGCTGCCGAAGGGACGGGACATCTTTGTGTCACCACCCAGTGCTGCAGCATTTCTCGTATCACTTGGGTACTACCCAGACGGAATACTCCTGCAATGACATGTAATGCATCATCTGGGCAAAAGCTGGATCCTCGTGCATTCAGTAAATGCACTTCACACCAGTAACACAACCCAGTGACTGTGACATTGAGGGTAAAGCATCCTAACCCCTTCTGTCAGCATTCACCAGCCATGGAGCTGCTCCTCAGGCTTTCTCCCTCAGCAAAGGCTGACGCAAACGCATGGACCGGGGTCACCTGTCCCCAGGTACGGTGACAGTGCCGGTGCCCAGGGCAGCCAGACCTGTCCCCCCCCGTGCCCGGCCCCAAATACATCTAACTCACAGTGAGCTCAGGCTGCAACAGGAGACAAGAACTGCCCGTGCACTGAGAACACCGGCTAGGCTCCCAGGGGGGTGACAATTTTCATGGATTTTTCAGAAAACGCCCAGGGCGAGACTTGGCACTGCGGCATTCTGGCTTCGAAGGTTTTATTTTTTCAGACTAAAGAGGAATGGGAACGTGTCGATATGATGAGTGTATAACTTAGCTACATTTTTTCTTTCTTAAATTAAGCTTATTTCTTTCTTAAATATAAAGCATGCTATTTCATAGCATTTTGGACAACTACTTACACCAGGCTGACAGAGATAGGGTTGCGACTCTCCTGCTTCCTGCAGCGCAGGTAATAACTGTAAGTATCCATTCTTTTCCTTTTCATAAATGCTTTTCCAGAAAACCCCACTGAACTGAATGCCAATCAATACCAAGTAATCTCCATGGAAGTGCTATCGATGGTTTCTAGATAAAACCAGAACGTGTTGCTACCGCAGTGCGGGCAGCGGCAGAGCCCCACTGGACCGAATGCCTCGGCACGACCAGGGTCTCCCCGGTCACCGGTGCGTGCTGTCAGGGTGCCATTTGGACCGATGCAGCCCAACGGCACAGTGTGCATCCATCCTGTGCGGAAAGCCAGCGGTGCTGGGGGACCGATGCTTCCTTTCGGTGAACAGACGGCTTTGGCAAAGCCAGGACCAGCACGCCGGGGTACGCCATGCACCTTGCACCGGTTTGCAAGCTGGTATGCTATGCTACCCCAAACTGGGGGCCAGGGGCTGAGCCTTTGCTTACCAGTCCGGGCTGGGAGGCGGCCAGTGCGCGGTGCAGCCACGCCAGGCTGCGGGTCCTGCCCTGGCAGCGGTGCAGTCCCAGTGCTCCCGCGGTGCTGGCCGGGGCGAGGCAGAGCTCTCGGTGCTGGATCAGCCGCAGCCAGGTGTAGTTGAACTTCTGGTGCTGCAGGGACAGACCCGGGAGAGCTGTGACCCTGCTCGCCTTCCGCCTGCCCTCACCCGGGGTGGGGAACAGGGAAAGCCAGGATCCATGGGGACACCTTTCCCATGGATCTGCAGAGCTCAGAAGCTCAGGGCAGCCCCGGTGGGAAGGGCTGTGTTAGCCCTGGGGGGCTGGGCCAGCCCCCTGCTCCATGCCATGCACCAAAGAGAGAATTCCACGCTCAGCATGCAGGCTGTCCTTACCTCGTTGGCACTATCACACGCCTCCAAAGCCAGCGTGGTGTTTTCCACAGTGACACATCTCGCCAGGGCTACATTAACAAGCTGGAAAATGGCACCAAAATGCAGATTCAGCATCAACTCCCAGGAAAGAGGAGAGGCTGCTGCCCTGCAGTTCCGCTGCTGGATTCACAGGACACTGATACCATCCACGCAACCGACTGGAGCAGAGACCGTGTGCCACAGTCCGTGGAGGGGCGTGAACATGCACATCTGATCACCACATCTGTTTTTCTACCAAGAGAAGCTAACCCATTCCAGAAAGGCTGAAGGCTGGATGACACATGTTCTTTTACGGGTTTTTTTTGGACATAGTTCATGTTCCTGTCCTGCAAATCCCCAAATCAACAGCTCCCAACAATAACAACTGCAGAATCCTGTCCCGTTGCTACACTGTGAAGGAAACGAGGGCAGCTGAAAACACTGGGCTGAGCCCTGCCAGCCCCCCAGCCCCAGGCTGAGCCCACCACACTGTGGGGACCCACAGCCACGGAGGCTGGCACTGGCACCGGCTCCTCCGACAAGCCCAGCAGCGCAGCCGTCAGGGCTGCTCACATCTCTGATTCCTTGCAAATGTCGTTCCTTCTTTCAGAATTTCTGAAGATCTTAATTAATTAATCCTGGTGAATAACTAGGCTGTTCAGAAAACAGTTCCCGAGTAACTCCGGGTAGTGTTCAGCACAGCTGGAATTTGCAGAGTTAGCTGAAAAACAGATTTTCTGCCCTATTAAATTTGGAGAATGAAGATAAAAGAGTGATTCAGGTGGCCTGAATCAGGACAAAGCAAGGCAACATCTTGAAAATATTCACAGACACCTCTGAAAAGCTGAGGTTTCGGCTCCGTTGAAACAGAGGTCTCTCCCTATGGTCTAACTGCTTTGTACTGAATTTGACATTAAGTTTATGGCTCTGACTGAAAACAAAAGAGCTGAAAAAGTGACTATTTCAAGAAGTTTACTTTTTTTTTTTTTAATGAGCCGCCCTCCCACACCTCCACGGCTCCATCCCAAACAGGACACACCAGCTGTGGCTGGCAGAGCACCAGCCTCGATGCCCCGGGATCCCCGGGACGGGGAACCTTCACGTTATTGCCCTTGGCCCACAGACAAGCCTGAAACAAGGCCAAGTGGTTGCTCGGCTTTTTCCTGGCTCCCAGAAGGACCGGTGCACCTTGGCAGGGATGGAGGGGACAGGCAGTTCTTGTTCTCACTCCCCAGCCGTGCCAGCCCTGCGCGGCTCCTGGCCACATCATCGGGCAAGTGCTGCTCCTGCTGCGGCGCTGGGAGATGGGGATGGGTGGGGATGGCAGAAAACCCTTTAGTGGGGGCAGCAAACCCTTTAGTTTGATTCCTGGCAATGCTGTAATTTTCCTGACAAATCAGATATTGTACTTTTGTTATTGCAATTATTGCTAATTCACCTTCTAATGTCATGGAGCCCCCGGGGAGTAGCTGCAGAAGCAGGACCTGGTGCCAGGGAGGGACGGTGGAGGAGAAACGGAGCCAGACCTGGTCATGCTCCCCAACCCTCAGCCAGCCAGGGCCTTCTGGAGGCAGGACTTGAGCCAAACCGGACTTTAATCCGGACTTTAATGTGCTTTCTGCACGGGAGACCTGTCCGTCCGCAGGCAGCGCAGAGGAAAAGCAGACTGCTGCTGCGCCCTGCTGGCAGGCGAGCACTGCTGCACCAACCCTGCCCTGCCTGCACCGCGAGTACAAACCCTGCCTGCACCAACCCTGCCCTGCCTGCACTGCCAGTACAAACCCTGCCTGCACCACCCCTGCGCTGCCCGCACCTCCTGCCTGCACCACCCATCACCCCAGCAGCAGTTTCTGTCTCCTGCCGTGGCCAAAGGCTGTGCAGGCAGAGAGGGTGCTGGACCCCTTGCCCTGGAGGCACGTCCTGTGCAGGCACAGGCACCATTGCACAGGCAGCTCGTCACCAAACTGGCTCTTTAACGGGAAATTGTCTCTTGTAATCATCTTTATGAGAACACCGGGGAATCCAAACCACCAGGACACATTAAAACTTCAAAAACGTCACCAAACGCCAGGGAAGTAACTCAGAGACCACGCACTGGGATGCTACCAAGTCCCCAGCCACTGCAGACACGTTTGAACGAAGGACAGAACGAAGTCACTGGGGTACGTACCAGCCCGCTGGCTTTCACCAGGGGAGCTTCCAGCTCCGGGTAGACGTTCTCCAGGTACCACCGGAAACTTTTGCACTGAAGCTTCTTCCGCAGCTGGATTTGTTGAGTCAGGTTGCCGACATCCAGGTTTTTCAAGACCAAGTGGTAAGCGTGGCCGTAGAACAAGTCCTTGTACTCATCCAGCCAGACCTCTGCGACGCGGGCCAAGTTCCTCTCCACTGTTCTCACCCGGTCTTTCGGGAAGGAATAAGGGTTGTCGTTCCTGAAAATGTGCCCGACTCTGGAGCACGGAACAATCTCGATCTCTCCTCCGCACATCCAGACCTGCGGAACAGAGATTGCAAATCCTGGGTGCTGGCTCCATGCAAGCCAGAAGAGAAGCAGAGAAGGGAACTGCCAGGAGTGAGGGGGTCTCCAGCATGGGGCTGCCCTGGGGAGCTCCCCCCAGTTCCCCAGCCAGGCTGGCAGGGATGCTGCCGTGGGGACAGGCTGCCGAGAGCCACGTACCTTGAATGAAATCTCCATATTTTCACCTCCCCAAACATCCAGCCCTGGGTCGTATGTTCCCAGCTCAAAAAAATACGTCTTATCGATGGCAAACAGCCCCCCCGCCATGACCGGGCACCTGGGGACAGAGAAATCACTCGGCATGTCGCTGGTGGGGCAGCGCCCAGCCCCTCCCCTTGGGAAGGGAATCCTCGAGAGGCTGGGGGCTGCTCAGTGCTCCGGGACAGTTTACAAAGTTCCGTTTACAAACCTCTCACATTTGCCTTTTTTTTTTTTTACCTTATTATATCAGTTTCCTTGATTTTATTCTTCTTGATGACCTCTTGCGGAATCTGCCTCCATCCAAAATTCATCGGCCAAGTGAAAATCCCACGCTGAAAGTTGTCCACGGTCATGTAACTAAATGGAGAAGAGATGGGGATGACTAAGTCTGAGTCACATTCCTGATTGAAATGTCACCCTTAATGAGCGAAGATGAATGTCTGTACATAATTAAAACAATATTTTAATGAATTTCATCAGGAATCCTCTGCATGTGCTAAAAGCCATGAAAAGGCGAAAAGGTGTGTGCAACAAACGCAGGGGCCACATCCGCTGCTGATGCTAATTTCTGGGGCACAGCAGCGTTACGTATCTCCCATGAAACGCCGCTGATGGCCGGTGGGGATTTGTGTGTCCTGGGGGTGCAACATGCCTCACCTCATGTCCTTGTCGCTGATGACCTCGATGACGGGGCAGGCGACCTTGGTGCGGCGCAGACGGACCCTCTCCAGCAGCGGCTCCAGCCACCCCACGTTGCACTCCACGTGCGAGTCCAGGAACGTCAGGACGGCACCTGCGGCAGAGCCCAGGGCAGCATCACCCCGCGACCACCCCGGCTCCCTCCCCGCAGGCTCGGGGGGCTGCTGGTGGTGCCAGGACCCTCCACAG